ATTTGATTGCGTGTCGAAGATGATTCCTGACAAAATCTGTGTACGTATCAGTAGTGACAGTTTTCCCTCCTGGCATGTAGTGCTTTAAGAAAACCCTTTGCTCAACTCAAAGAAAAACCAAAGAGTCAGCATAGTTTTTTTATCAGATGGTTGCCTGCGAAACGTCATTGGTATAGCGCCATATCTTGTTGGCTCTCTTCATGATGGTAAACCCAGGTGTTATCCCCAGTAACAATTCTTGACAGGACACTACCACCTTCTGCTTCAAAGCACTGGACATGTTCTTGACAAGCATCAGTGGGTCGTTGCTTTAATTTTTTAGTTAGTTGCAGTGGAACACACCTTTCCAGACACTTTGCGGTACTGTAGCACAACCAAGATAATGTGTTGTCCGGAGCCTTTGCTGATATCAAGAGGCACGGCAATGTCACTTACATTCAATTCTGCGGTTGTCCTCTTCAAAGGCTGCAATCGACTACTCGAAGTGCCTGACCCCGTCGGGGATAAGTCCCGGCTTCATGAAACTTCCTACTTCACTGATACACTTGCTGGACATGCAGGCATACTAGACCACACTGGACTCTTGTTTGCATATGAATGTCTATAGTTTTCACATCTTTACTGATTGAAACAGAGCGCTGCACCTCTTCTTGGTGCATGTAAAAAGTGGGGCGGCCATCTTTAAACTGTCATTATGACGTAACCGTGTTTATCTTGATGTCATAGGCCTAAAACTCTTGACATCCTTAACAACAGTATTCGCAGTTTACAAGACAATGGCATAGTTATTGTAATTTCTGTCACAGTTTTCAGGTTTTCTTTTGTAGCCCCAGTCCCGTAAAAACTTGTTCAACCTTTTTGGATATTTTCTGTCCACTGTTATTCCTGTTTGTCTAAAGAATACTTTTAGCATGACTTAAATATTCCTGAATGAGCACTAGCAAATTGATATCTCACTTAGTGAGAATTCAGTCCTGTACACAAATATTGTCCAAATTATTTTTCTTTACGCATGTAGAAATGTGTGTACTAACTACGGACAATAGTCTTGAAACAACCATATATGTCAAATAAAATCATGAACTTTTTCCTGGCTGCTAAATTAGCAGTAGACAAATATGTTTACTCTACAGTTCTTGACCTCAAGCTCAAACAAGCTCAAACAACAATGTAGCTTGTTTAATCGCTTGCTGGCGTGTATTTCTGGCATCAGGGCTCTCAAAAAAAA